GAACCTATTATACGGCCAAAACGTGCTCTCCCGTCTACATTTAGGTCGATTATAATACGATTTTCAATAGAAAAATCGGCTTCGGTATACATTAATATTGTGTGTGTGTGTGTGTGTGGGCCAAAAGCAAAGTCGTATAAACTCGGCCGGTAAGGGTGCAGGGTCCTGCGGCGGGTCACCGCGTGAAATACACCGGATCCGAAAGGTTTCCCACCCTCTCACGGCGCGGACGCGTCGTCGGCGGCGCTTGTGGAGGGGTGGCGGTAGGTACGGTTCTCACCCCCTACCCCTCGCCGTGTTAATAATTTAAACGATACGACCGGGCGACCGGCCAGCGTCCGCGATGATTTGCGATATTTCCCGGTCGGATGACGGCTGGCCGGTGCCCGGGCAAAGGGCACATATTATTATATAGATCCTTTTCGATATATTGAACTTTACTTTCTGGTTCTGCGTGCGTGTTCCGAACGAATAATATTACGCACGTATATTTTTATTTTTAAAAACACACCCACACACACACACACACACACACACACGTGCACACACACACGTGCACACACGACCGCGCTAAACCGACGAAATTATAGCTGAGGTATAACCCGGCGTAATGGCCGAAGAAAATATTTATTACCTATGAGTGTATTATATGTGAGTCTCCAATATATATAAATACGTATACATATTATATAGTATGAGTAGGAATATAAACGAAAAGTAAGTCAAACGTTGTAGAGAACAGTGAAAAAAGTAGGTAATAATGATAATAATACCGTACACTCGCGCCAGTATATAATATAATATAATATGCATGGGGTAATATGGTACACTATAATATTATAAGTTATAACTTTCCAATAACACCTCCATGCCTTCCACGCAGTCTTCGATTTATTTTTTATAATTAGATATTATAATAACGCTTATAAGTTATAATATCTCAGAACGAATATTATCAAATCACCTCCGGGCGTGGTATTATTATTTACTCGTTTATTCGTTAGATTTAATTGTTATTGCGGGTACTGCTATGCGATGTGATTAAAGCTATGGAAATTGTTTTATAATTGTACACTTTGAAAATCGAACAACAACAAAAACACTAAATCTCCAAACAAAACAACGCTACTCTAGAATTATCTGATTAAGATGCTAGTTTTTCTATAACGATAAATTTATGAACATAATTTCATAGGTACCGAATAAAATCTTTAAAACGTGTATGCAGATAATATTTATAGAGGTATTCTGAAAATATGAGTCAAATAGGTCGTTTATAATATTAATATAAAACTATGAAAGATACAACTAAAGCCAAACATATTATTTTTTTTTTTAAATTTAAAACGTTATATTCCGATAATAAGATTTTTTGTTTTCGTCAGGTAGGTATAGTTTTATATGTTGTTCCTACAATGAGTATATAATACACAGTTTCGATCAAAAGTGGAAGAGTACGCGTACGCACTATGCACATTTTATTTTAATGTTCTTTATCGTTAAAGATAACACTGTACCAAAGTAAAAAGGTTGTTCTTGGAAAACAATATGAAAAAACATGATCCAAAAAGGGTGTGGTATATTTTTTGAAGTGACAACGTTTTAAATTCATTATATACTTCAAATATAATTAAGATAATGAGACGGACAAATATTATAATACAATTCGTGCTATTGCGAGCTAACGTTATAACATAATATATTAGTATTTAATATAAATATTTTCTTTTTTTTTTTTCAAAAACGACCACTTATACACTGTATAGTTACGTAAAATACACAAATGTTTCATGAAAACATTTCACACTTTACGATAATATCTTTATAAATGTATTTTATAGGAATCGGTGTAGTTGTTTATTTGCCAGCCGTGTAATATACTCCGAGGGAAATGCACACGCGACTATGCGAGTGCCTATAATATTACTTGTGCGAAAATACTTTATAATCGTACAATAAAAGTTTTACTAACTTATTGTCTACAAACGTTTTTATAATCCATTTAATGTATACCCGGTACATATTTTTATATTACTTATAAGATATTATCCAATCCGCTGGCAAATTAGCGGCGATTAAAACTTAAAGGATTATATTATTAAATAATTAGAAAACATTATAATACAACGGACAAACTATATCGTAATTTTCTTATAATCGGATTCCTCGATCACGGTGTTTTGACTCGGCCATAAGGAGATGGATAAATAATTGGACGAGAACAGAAAATGTGTTGAAAGATCAAATCTACGGGCCCAGTTTAGACTTGCCGTGAGTTAAGTTATTGAGAAGAAAAAAGAGATACAAACCGTCGGAGATGCTGTTCGCGAGAAGAAGTCATTAACTTATTACGTCGATATAATCAGCAAATTGCCCTAGACGAATTGACGTTGCTCCTTCATGAGGATAAGCCATTACTTCAGCTAATATCCACCGTTTAAATTACACTTCGTAAGCACAGACGTGTTATTAAACTATTAAAAATAAAAATAAAAAAACCGCAAGCATCGAAACGCTTATTAACAATAATAATACTGTTGAAAATCGTGTAACCGGTAAATAAAATAAAAATATAAGGCTTAATATTAAATTAAGATTGCGAAAACGATTTAAACAAAAATGATTTTAAAATTACAGTGGCTGTGAAGATATGATGGAGTTAATGGTCTGAAAATAAATTTAAATATGTTTTATGAAATAATCACGTAGCACTTAGGCGAAAATATGTGCAAGTTTCAAAAGTATTGCTTTGATGGCTGGTTGAAAAAAATATAAAACATATTAAAAGAATTTATAAAGTAAATTATAAAAATCAATTCCTACAGACTAGTAACGAAGATTCAAAACCATGTTTATGTTAACAATCTTAAATTCGTTAATAGTCAATAAAGTATTATTATGTTAAGGCACCCGTCAGATTAACCATACTAATGTGATAAAATAAATATATTTTTGGTAAAATGCTTTTGAAAATTTGAATAAATTATACAAAAATATATTTGAGTCCATAGTATCGTTTATAACAATATTATTTTATATATTATATAAACTAATTTTAATTTAATTAAAAGCGCTTCGAAAATAATAACATTGGTTATACGTTCACGTTTTATGGTCGTATGTGATATTCTTCTATTATAATATTTTATGGAAGCACGTATTTGTGCAAAACTGTACACGCACCCGAAATCTCATTATTATTTTTTATTAAAAACCCAAAGGAAGAAGAATATTTTTTACGAAATGAGGAAAGCTACATTTTAAAATTTAAATCCATGATTTTCATCCTTTTAGTGAAATGGGACTTACCACTTTATCGGTGTTACGGGATCTGTATATTGTAATATAGTAATACTCATATATTATATTTTATTTGACGAATATTTTGATCTTAATGATTTTAAATACGTCAATATTGTCGAATAATTGTATTTTTATTGTTCTGATAAAACTACACATCATGATAATATAATCATAATATGTATACACATTTCATTGCTATATATTTTAATATTTTGTACTATTAGCTTAAAAAACTGGTAGGTATTGATTTGAATTTTTTATGATTTATAAATTGTAATATAATTCTTGTGGAACCCTTTTTAAAAATATTATAACACGTAGGACGTAAGTAGATTAGCACTCTAGAGTCGATTTCGGAATACATATATTATTAATTTTGTACCTGTCTTGTGTAAATCGAGTTCGACTATTGGATTCAATGTGACATAATAAACTCACGAGCTCGAGGTCCGTTCGTCTATAAGTAATATTAAATAATATTATGTGGGCATAAGATTCGTGGTTTTGTGGTAAATATGCTCGCGCACACGGATTACCGTACTTAACGAACTTCTATTGCTAGACCTATTATGCTAGTCGCCTGAGCACAACAAAGAGAACCGACAACGGGAAATTAAAATATAAAGAAAAAAATGAACGGTTAAAATATGATAATTTCTTAGAAATTGTTAACAGAAATACCTACCGGCGGACGCCGTGTATATAGAGCGAGTGAAACAGTTTGCTGTACATTGTATTATTCAACTGGGTTGTTGAGAGGAAGAAAGATAAAAACGAAATAATAATATTGTCGATTTTGCACGTCATGTACTTGGTGTTTACCAAACAGAGAATGATGTCCACATCCAAAAAAAAATTGTCAATTATCCTTGTATTATTAAAAGTACCTACACCTTTTCGTCGGCACATCTGAGCTGTTGGGTCCAAAGTACTGTAGGGGCTAATCGCAGGTACTAAATTGGTTGAATCTAGGATTATTGCAGGTACTTGACTAGTTGTGTCCTAATTTTTTTCAGATAGTACCAAACTAGTTGGATCATACATTTTTTTAGGTATACACTATAGTTTGGTCCCAAATATTTTTGATGAGTTCTACACCGTACTGACATTTTAACAGACTTGAGAGTCTACTAAAAGTGTAGTTAAAACTGGTTTGTACAGTTTCTTTTTTAAAATTTCTTTGCTATAAATTTCGTATACATTTTTACCAACACAAAAGTATTTTTTTACACAATATTTTATTTTTATTTAAATTATTTAATATGTATTTTTTTATATACTTTGATATTTAAAAGAAGTTTTTTAGGAGTTTTCATCGTAGTACATTTTATGAACCTATAATATATAATTATTATGATATAAATATTTAATAACACCATGTTCTTGATTACTTTAGTTTTATTATATCATAGTTTTTAAGAAAATATTATGCAATGGCATTTTGATAAGTCAAAAACCTTAACTGTTATCGCGTTTTAAGTGTTCATTTTTCAATTTCGGTTTATAGTTTTCTTAATAATCTCGAATTAAAAATAATACAAACTGTAATATAGTAAAAAGGGGTAGGCGATAAAAAAATGTAACCTTCGTATTACAATATCTATCTAAGTCAATTTTTTTTTTGTAACTCCAAACTTTGATTTATTGATGTTCCATTATACATATTATATTAAATTAATGATAATGTTATTCCGTAGAAAATATGCGTGTAAAGGTATCATCTAACTTCGCAGTTGATGAAGATATCTCGCCCGAAGAAAGTCATTCGGATAGTATGTCCAGTCAAGAAAATATCTCTGAAAGGAATGTTACAAATGTAAGTATGCCACTGAGGCGTGTTATTGATAAATCATTATAGTTTATACCAGTAATTTAAATCTTTTTGTACCAGCGTGTCAAATACAAATTTTGGTTGGATTTTGTTTTCCATGAGTTTCAACAAGTTCGATAACCCTTCAATTTTTTTTCAAAAAATTTAATATTATCAAACTTTAACACATTCGTGTATGACACTAAAATAGTGTGCGTGTGTCACTATGTAACATCACGCGTGTCGTAGGTTCGCCATCTCTGGTTTATACATTTGAATCGCATAGATATTTAGTCGAAATTTTAAATATGTCTCAAAAGTCAAAGTCTATATATATATATTTTATTTATTTAATTTGATACAGGAAAATACCATAATATAATATTATGATATTATAAAAAAACAAATATTGAAAGTTAAACGTTATTAATTATAGTTTAATGGTGATGGACTGGTGCTAATTGTGATCTAAAAGTTCGCAAAGCATATTATTATTGAGATAACTGTAAAACGGAAGATATATTATTATATAATATTCTCATTCTAATACCTAACAAAAAATTTGCTGCACCAATAAACTTAAGTACAATATTATGTTTGGCCACATTCTCATTTTGTCATAGCTGTTACACATTATGTTGTTATATTTTTTTTTTGTTTTTTTTTAAAGTAAATCATACAAATTAGGATAACTGCAAAGTAACTGCGTTTATCTATAGCTCGCAAAATTAAAAAAATAACAATAATAATAATAATAATAATAGCATGTTATAAAATAGTGTCGTGGCGTTGCAATGAGACACACAACTTGAGACGGGTTTCGTCATCTTCAGTCAAGTAATACGGTTTTGTATATTGTCTTTTATTTAAGAGTCTGTTTTATCACAGAATCGTTATCATGCTCGGTGATCATGATGATGGTTTTGCACTTTTGTGGCAAATGGTATAAGAACAGACAAATCGATGGATGATAATAGACATATCAGTATAAATTGACCAAAGATGAAGAAACCCGTTCAAAGGTATGTGTAATGCAAAGCTACGGAACTCTAAATTATTTAATTAGGTACCCATGTGTTTTAAATTTTAGCTTTCGACTAACCGCGGTGATAACAGTTATACTGTCACCCATTGTGATTCACTTGTCTAATTCAATACTTAAAACTTAAATTCTATTAGACAAACTCGGAATCATCAAATGACGAAGACAACTCCGAAAACGGCGATGATCACAACGACAACAGCCGAGAAGAAAGCGACAGCGACAGTGCCACCGACGACGACGACGGCGACGACGACGACGATGACGACGACGACGACGATGACGACGAAGACGACGACGACGACGACGACGACGGCGACGGCGACGCCGACGGCGATAGTAGCGACAGTGGCGTTAAGAGCGGTGACACTGTGTTTAATAGTTGCACCTACAGTAGGGGTGCTGATAACAGTGAAAGCATTCGTATTGATGACGGCGAATTTATAATCGTCTTCCCTAACATTAATGAAATAAGTGATCAGCCGGTATGTATTACGTACTGTTCACTATTTTTATCATCGATATTATTTTATTACATATTTTTTTTTTTTTTTTTTTT